ATTTGAATAGTATTGTATTTCGATCTTTGAGATCTTTCCATGTACTTAGCTAGAGTTCGTGACTCTATATTACCAAATCTTGGAAGGTTGTTATGATTATTGCCGCATAGGCTTATTACGCTTTTGTTTCGGTATTCATATTAGACTCTGTTTCAAATTATCATTGTAAAATATTTTTCTAATCGTTATTAGTAATTGGCTTACCTAGTCTTAGAGACTAGGTACCATCACGACGCCTACGGTGGATTTTTGGGTCGTGACGGTGGCATAACCATTAGATAACAAGTGTAGATTTTTAGGACAAAACTCCAACAAATGTGGAGTTTTAAAAAAAATTAAAAAAATAAAATAAAAATAAGGTAACAATTCAAATTGGACTCAATCGAGAAGGATAGAAGGAAGAGTTTTTTTTTTTCAATAGCTAGCCTTAATGATCATGACATGCATTTTGGACTCAACGGCCTGATCTATCAAACTGGTCTAATCTTTCCTTTTACCATTCCTATGACCTTTGAAGTCGGGCTTGTTCGTGCCAATTCTTTGCATCAGCTTCACAACCCACTTTCGACTAGTGGTGCCCCGAGGGGTTTTCACCAACAAGTCTCTCTCATTTATTTATCTCTACTTGTTGTCGCCTTACAGTGCCCATGGGAATTTTCACTGGTAAGACTCTCTCATTTTTCTTTTTTTCTTTTTCTTTCCCCTTTTTTTCTTTTGTGAGCAACTTGACAGTGTTCTATGTCATGTGACAACTGCTACTCATTGCATGCGTCTCTTGGCATTCTTGAAGGCATATCGGGAGGTCTTTATTTGGAAGATTTTTGGATAGGGTTGGAAAGAAAGGTCGGCATGAAGGCTAAAAATAGACTCAAAATGAGGAGTTGTAGACTTACAACTCTTGGAATCGACCCTTTCAAAAGAGAAATAAAATCTTTGCCCCAGTTTCAGATACTAGGATTTTTTTTCCTTTTTTATTTTTTATTTTTTTGAATTCTTATTTGGTTAGACCGAACCGTGTAAGGCTGCCTACGTATCCTTTTTTAAGGAATCAGGTCAAACGTAGTTCAAACATCTGACCTAACTATTTTTTTTTCGTCTTTCTCTCTTTTACATTGTCTTTTTATTTTCTTTTTTTTTCAAAACAAGTTGCCCGAGCTTATATTTTCTAGGGGCATGGACCTTTGACTATTCTTTTTTTTCTTTTTTTTTCACTTGAACTTTCTAAGAGTTGCCCCAGTTTGTACTCTTGGGGCATGGACTTTTCTATTCATTATTTTTGGACTTTTAACTCGAAACTTGATTCCAAAAGAGGATGGTCAAAGAAAATAACACAGGCTCAAAAGAGGTAGCAAAGGGTATAAAGTGTTTGGATAGCCGAAAAAAGGGCCTCACAGCCTCGAGAACGCCAAACATAGTATCCTTTCGTGATCACACCATTGATGAACATGTCTGTCTTCTTGGTGTGTCGTAGTCAAAAGACACTTTCCATCCATTAATGTCAAATTTTTCACCAAACTTCAATTAATTCTTCCTCAAACCCAATCTTCATAATGATTTGAAGGTAAAGATCATTAACCCCACGGGTATGACAATTCTAGTTCCACATGAATTTGAACCGAGCTTAATTCCAAAGTGTTTTGACTGTGTATTCATCCTCAAAAGTGTCTTGTTCTCAGTTAACCAGTTCAAGGCTAAATCAGTTTTATAAGATCTGGCCAAAAATTCTGCACGCATGTCATGTCACTAGAACTAGCGGCGAAAGAACTAAGCATAGAATGACACAAAAGGACAAATTATATTTCATTGAATAACGGATGGAAGGATTTGACGATAAGACAAACAAACTTGAAATCTGGGTTACAACCCTGGATAACCCAGATAACATAAAAGACAACAAAATACGCTACCAAGTCTCCTCCCTGCTAAAGAGGAGTGACTTTCCAATTATCAAGCAACATCTTAGCCACAAATTTGCACATCAGCACTACCACAATATTCAATCCTTTTTATTGCTTTGGATTCAATACTCAATTTTTGACTTTTGATCAAACCGTTCCCCATATTGCCTGTCGGATTTCAGGATTGATAGCATGGGAATTTTCACATTAATTAATTTGCCAAATGACTTGGACGAATTCTCATATCTCCCTATCATCACAGATCATTCAAGCAGAGCATGTCCTATTGCTCCAAACTGGTAGAAGTCAGCCAACATTTGCCTCAATTTTATCACCAACTTGTCTACTTGCCTTTTTGTGACCTTAGTTGGATCAACAATAGTAGTTCTTGTTCCTTCGGTTGAGAAAGTGCTTTTATTTCTGAGGGATCCTGGATTGTTTTGTGACTCGCCATTGAAAACCAACAAACCGACCACCTTTAACTAGCTTTTATTTCAAAACAAGAAGCATGTTAGTATGAACACTCTCTTTTTTCCTTTTCTTTTTTTTCTTTTGTCACTCTTTTTTTTTCTTTCTTTTTTCAAAAGCATTCGATCGAACCTGATGTGGGTTGCCTATGTATCATGTGAGAACATGAATCTTGCGTAGTTCGGGAAGATCGGAAATGAACTAAATAAACTAAATCTTTTTTTTCACTTTTTCTAAAAATCGGACCATGAAAGCTTCTAAAAAAGAAAATATTTTGGATTTTGATTTTTTTTTGAAAATTTATGAAAAGAAAGACTTCTAAAGAAGAAAGAAAATATTTTTTTTCTGAATTTCGATTTTTTTATTTTGGAGAAAGACTTCTAAAGAAGAAAAAAAAAATATTTTTGGATTTTGATTTGATATTCTTTTTTGAATGAAAGACTTCTAAAAAGAAAGAAAATATTTTTGGTTTTAATTTTTTTTTTTATTTGGAATTTTCTAAGGAAAGACTTCTAAAGAAGGAATTAAATGAAAATATTTTTGAATTTTTAAAAATTGGGGCCGGAACCGATGAGGTTTGCCTACATATCTCACATCCGGTGAGAATCAGACCCATGTAGTTCGGTCAGCTTTGACGCAACAGAAAAATGTGACTTATTTCGAAATGACTTTTTTTTCATTTTTTTTTTCTTCAAAATTCGGCAGAGTTTCGGGATACTGGGATTTTCGAAACCTGGTGAATTTTCTCTCCTACTTCACTCTTGATTTTTTTTGATTTTCTTTCCCTATTCTAGAAGCCGGTCAACATGCAAGGCGAAATAAATAAATACACAAGTAGCACGTAAAATGAATCAGGATGGTCTTTTAAATTGGGTACACCTGTCCTAGACGGACCCAACCCCTATATTGAGTCCCCAAAGTCAAATGCACGTGATGCAAACAAACGTACCTACTAGGGATCCGGCATGAGGTTTTGTCATTCTAAGTTTAAATCCTGGGTGTATTGTTCTAGACCTGGCTTACCCGAGCGGATAACTCGAGCCGGGGGGGCCAACGTACCGATAACCAAAAGATCATCCGGCTTTGTAACTGATCTGATCCTCGTTCTAAATTAGGGTAAGACACTAACAGAAAAGAAGTCACGCCAGCGTGCACTTCCCAGAAGATTTAGACGACTCAGAGAGAAGAAGGGTTTCGTAATAGTTTTATATACAGTTCAAACAATATCAAAGCATTAAAAAGCAGCATTTAGCACATTAGGCCCAAACATGTAATATCAGACAATCACAAGAAAGCCAAGTATAACAGTTATTCTAATCTCGAATTCTGAACCTTGAACCAGAGATTCTGGGTTCGTTCCCCAGAAGAGTCGCCAGAGCTGTCACACCTCCTTTTTCCCGAGGGGATAGGGGATTGGGAGTTTTTTCAATTAAAGTGAAATTATTCAAAATAGGATTATTTATTTAATCAGAGTCACCACTTGGAATAATTTACGGTGTCTCAAGTTACCAGTTTATTTTAAAATCCCAAATCAAGGAAATTGACTCTATTTTTTTTTTGTCCGCGAACACAGAAGACCGGGTAAGGAATTCTATTAATCCGGGAGAAGGTGTGAGGCACTCCTGAGTTCCGTGGTTTTAGCACGGTCGCTTAACAATTAATACTTGGCCTAGTTATCTGATTTATTACATATTTAGAACTTATTATGCATTTATAACTTCTAACCGCTTTCAATTAATTTAATTGCCTTTTAGTGTTTATGGAATTTATTTAAACAAGTCGCGATATTGCGCACTCGTTGTTTTTGTACACATTGCAAATCGCATCACGTGAAATGCACCCGCGACTTATAACATGTTTATTATTATTATTATTTGAAGTTATGGTCGGGTCACATGAAATGCACACCCGAATTGGAATTTACGTTTCGTGACCATGCCACGGGAACCGTACCCATAGTCACGATGATTTATTAATAATCGCGCCTAAAGCAAGCTACAATATTCATTAATGATTATTTCCTAAGGTTTGAGACTGTGCACGGGTTCAGTCCTAATTGTCATAAGAGGAAAGTCATCTGGGCCTTTATCCAGGCCCAAGCAGCATCCAAATGAGTTCTGTTAGGTTGTTTATTTAGACTGGCCCAAACGAATTGGCCTGGACAAGGATTTTCAACATTCCATTTGTAGTTTAAACTCAACATTCACACAATGATATTAAAAGTTAATCCAGTAGGAGCCATACGCAACTAATTTCAACTGTACACAAAATTTGTGTTAACCCTTCTTCAAAACACAACAAATATTCGCAGATACTATGTATATTGATTTAAATCTGCTTGGTTTACCAAATATACCACTGGTTTATTCTCAAACTCCAACGAGCAATTCCCGTAATGTCTTGCCATACTGCCCGTCTTTTATACTATTTAATTGTACATTGAACATATGTGAATAATAGCCTCAATTTCTCCTTTTATGATAGACAAACAGTCGGCTAATTTAGCATTCATAGATCTATCATTTATTACATCCGAACATGCTAACATATAGATTCACACAACAGGAATTTGAACCAAATTTCAGTTCATTCGCACAACTAAAACACAAAAGAAACTTGGGTGTATATGTGTACCTAGTTTAGAAGCCGGAACAAAACAAACTCTGATAGCAACCAAACAAAAGCGAGATCTACAAATTGGAGCTCAGCTTCAACCATATCGAGACAGAGATCAACAAATCAATCTCATAATCAAACAGCTCCAGCAGCTTGAAAGTTGTTCCAAATCCCAGAAGAAAAGTGAAGCTAACCGGTGAAAATAGAAGCAAAAACAAAATGACTCTGTCTCTTCTTCCTTTCCTTTTTTTTGTTTCTTTTCTATATTTTCTCCTAGAACTCCAGATTTTTCCCTTTATTTTTTGGATAAAATATGTCTCTCTTTCTGCCGAGTTAGTGTGGCCTTTCTCTGAGAGTGAGGTGAGAAGAATGAAGATCAGGTGTGGCGGCTTGGATTTTTACGTGTAAGGGGGGTCTAATTCTGTTCGTTCTCCTCTTTGAAAGAGAGGTGAAAAATTAGGGTCCCCCTTTAAGAAAGTGGGAGAGATGGGTATTTTAAGAGAAGAGTATGGGCCAGGCTATAGGGTGGATTGGGCTTCTAAAGGGATAGGATTGAAACAATTGAAAAATTAGTCACTTTGGACTCAAATTTTTATTAAATCAAATTTGTGTGGGTAACTATTATATATATTTTACTCACTAATTGACTAATGACCTAATTAATTAACTAACCTATGAATGCATTTTTTGGTTTTTTTAGATATTTATATAATGCATTTAACAATGTAATTAAATCCTAAAATGCAATTTAAAATCTAAAATGATATGAAATTAAGATTTGAACATTTTTATGCTTTTTATGATTTACGATATTTCTAACATGCATAAAAATGTGAATAAATGCAAAATAAATAAAGAAAAACTTCTAAAATTCATAAAAATAATTAAAATTATTTTTGGATTATTTTTAGGAGTAATTTCATATGTGGGATAAAAATTAGGTGCTCACAGCTGCCCCTCTTTGCTCGAAAACATGAAGAGTTTTCTGGAAAAGATAAAGTGAGCAATCATGAATAATATTTGCCCGTTTGATACTCCATGGGAAGCATTTTGAAAATCTTTGACCAAACCTTGCTTTAGAGGTTGCCTACATAACCTTTAGCTATAAAGAAATCAGGTCAATGTAGTTCTGAGAATTTTGGTAGCTGGGACTACCGAATAGCTGTGATTTCACTGTTGTTGCTATTGTTACTGCTTGCTGAGCTTCTTATTACACCAAAATCAAAATGAAAAAAAAAACTAAACAAGCCTACTAGCTACGAGTTACAAGATTCATATCTATAAGTCTTTTGAAGCTTTATCTTGAGCTTTAGTTGGTTCTTCATGCAAACTTTGATCCGAATCTTGATGTTTGCTAGCTGCAGGTGTTAGTTCATTCTTCTAAGGCTTCTTCTAATTAAAACGGAAAATGCAATGCTCGTGACTTATATCATGCTCGTGACTTATATCATGTCTTGGATTAACTTATTTTTCTTTTCTTTTATTCTATATTGAGATTTCTTCTTTTGGTCATCTCGAACCCTGTACCTCGAGGTAAAACCTGCTCAGACACCAAAACAAAACAAATAAATGAAATTTTTCTGTCCCAGTTTTCACTAGAAAAATTTCGTGAGTTATTGTAACAAAAATCTAAACTACTTCTTTATTGAAAGCAATAAAAAGGTCGGGAATGGTGTACCCTGAGAGAATTTGATGTTTTTTTTGGATGGTGTTCCCTTATTGTCAAAAATATATCTCAACTACGGATTAGTGTACCTTATGTTGGAAAAATGCGCTCAGGGAATGGTATACCCTATATTGGCAAAGATATCAGGGAGTGGTGTACCCTGCATTTAAGATCAAATCAACTAGGGAGTGGATACCCTATGTTAGAAAGGAGACTAGGGAGTGGAGATCCTATGTCTAAAACAAAATTAACTAGGGAGTGGAGACCCTATGTTGGAAAAGAAGACTAGGGAGTGGAGACCCTATGTTGGAAAAGAAGACTAGGGAGTGGAGACCCTATATCTAAAAATAAAAATCAACTAGGGAGTGGAGACCCTATGTTAGAAAAGAGACTAGGGAGTGTAGACTCTATGTCTAAAATAAAGTCAACTAGGGAGTAAAGACCCTATGTTTGAAAAGAGACTAGGGAGTGGAAACCCTATGTCAAAAATGAACCAAGAAGGATTTTTTTTTTGGTTTTATTTCTTTTTTTTTTTGAGAAAAATCATTTTCATATTTATTTTTTTTGTTGAGAAAATCATTCTTTTAAACAAATTGCCCCGGCGCTTATTTTCTGAGGGTGTGAACAAACAATTTTTTTTTTCAAACCAGACTTCTTCTCTCTTTTTTTCTAATTATCCTAGCAGAAAATCCATCAGACTACGTTTCCTTATCTTAGGAGAAAGATTCATCAAACTAAGACGTTTATCCTAGGAGAAAGATTCATCAGACTAGGGCTTTTTTTTGTTATCTTAGAAGAAAGATTCATCAGACTAAGATTTATTTATCTTAGAAGAAAGATTCATCAGACTAAGACGTTTATCCTAGGAGAAAATTTATCAGACTAGGGCTTCTTATATTAGGAGAAAGATTCATCAGACTAAGATTTCTATCCAAGGAGAAAGATTCATCAGACTAGGTTTTCTTATCTTAGGGGAATGATTCATCAGACTAAGATTTCTAACCTAGGAGAAAGATTTATCAGACTAGGTTTTCTTATCTTAGGAAAAAGATTCATCAGACTAAGATTTCTATCCAAGGAGAAAGATTCATCAGACTAGGTTTTCTTATCTTAGGAAAAAGATTCATCAGACTAAGATTTCTATCCAAGGAGAAAGATTCATCAGACTAGGTTTTCTTATCATAGGAGAGATTCATCAGACTAAGACTTTGTATCCAAGGAGAAAAATTCATCAGACTAGGTTGTTTTATCTTAGGAGAACGATTTATTAAACTAAGATTTCTATCCTAGGAGAAAATTTACCAGACTAGGTTTTTTATATATTATTATCTTAGTAGAAAGATTCGTCAGACTAAGATTTCTATCCTAGGAGAAAATTCATAAGACTAGGTTTTTCTTATCTTAGGAGAAAAATTTATCAGACTAAGACTTCGATCCTAGGAGAAAGTTCATCAGACTAGGTCTTATTATTGTTATGTTATCTTAGGAGAAAGATTCATCAGACAGACATTTATCCTAGGAGAATGATTCATCAGACTAGGTTTTCTTTTTTAATATCTTAGGAAAAAGATTTATCAGACTAAGATTTTTATCCTAGGAGAAAATTCATCAGACTAGGTTTTCTTATCTTAGGAGAAAGATTCATCAGACTAAGACGATTATCCTAGGAGAAAGATTCATCAGACTAGTTTTTTTTTTCTTTTTTTTTGTTATCTTAGGAGAAAGATTCATCAGACTAAGACGTTTATCCTAGGAGAAAATTCATCTGACTAGGTCTTTTTATCTTAGGAGAAAAATCCATCAGACTAAGACTTTTAACATAGGAGAAAATTCATCAGACTAGGTTTCCTTATCTTAGGAGAAATATTCATCAAACTATGATTTTTATCCTAGGAGAAAATTCATCAGACTAGGTTTTCTATCTTAGGAGAAAGATTCATCAGACTAAGACGTTTATCCTAGGATAAAGATTCATCAGACTAAGACGTTTATCCTAGGATAAAGATTCATCAGACTAGTTTTTCTTTTATTATCTTAGGAGAAAAATTCATCTGACTAAGACTTCAATCCTAGGAGAAAGTTTATCAGACTAGGTCTTATTATTGTTGTGTTATCTTAAGAGAAAGATTCATCAGACTAAGATGTTTATTCTAGGAGAATGATTCATCAGACTAGGTTTTTTTTGTTTTTAATATCTTAGAAGAAAGATTTATCAAACTAAGATTTCTATCCTAGGAGAAAATTCATCATACTAGGTTTTCTTATCTTAGGAGAAAGATTCAACAGACTAAGACGTTTATCCTAGGAGAAGGATTCATCAAACTAAGTTTTTTATTATTATTATCTTAGGAGAAAGATTTATCAGACTAAGATTTCAATCCTAGGAGAAAGTTCATCAGACTAGGTCTTTATTTTTGTTATCTTAGGAGAAAGATTCATCAGACTAAGATTTCTATCCTATGAGAAAATTCATCAGACTAGGTTTTTTTTTATTATCTTATGAGAAATATTCATCAGACTAAGACTTCGATCCTAGGAGAAAATTCATCAGACTAGGTCTTATTATTGTTATGTTATCTTAGGAGAAAGATTCATCAGACTAAGACGTTTATCCTAGGAGAATGATTCATTAGACTAGGTTTTTTTTCATATCTTAGGAGCAAGATTTATCAGACTAAGATTTCTATCCTAGGAGAAAATTCATCAGACTAGGTTTTCTTATCTTAGGAGAAAGATTCATCAGACTAAGACGTTTATCCTAGGAGAAAGATTCATCAGACTAGGTTTTTTTTTCTTTTTTTTTGTTATCTTAGGAGAAAGATTTATCACACTAAGACATTTATCCTAGGAGAAAATTCATCTGACTAGGGCTTTTTATCTTAGGAGAAAAATCCATCAGACTAAGACTTTTATCGTAGGAGAAAATTTATCAGACTAGGTTTTCTTATCTTAGGAGAAAGATTCATCAGACTAAGATTTTTATCCTAGGAGACAATTCATCAGACTAGGTTTTCTATCTTAGGAGAAAGATTCATCAGACTAAGACGTTTATCCTAGGATAAAGATTCATCAGACTAAGTTTTTTCTTTATTATCTTAGGAGAAATATTCATCTGACTAAGACTTTGATCCTAGGAGAAAGTTCATCAGACTAGGTCTTATTATTGTTATGTTATCTTAGAAGAAAGATTCATCAGACTAAGACGTTTATCCTAGGAGAATGATTCATCAGACTAGGTTTTTTTTTTAATATCTTAGGAGAACGATTTATCAGACTAAAATTTCTATCCTAGTAGAAAATTCATCAGATTAGGTTTTCTTATCTTAGGAGAAAGATTCATCAGACTAAGACGTTTATCCTAGAAGAAAGATTCATCAGACTAAGTTTTTTATTATTATTATCTTAGGAGAAAGATTCATCATATTAAGATTTCTATCCTAGGAGAAAGTTCATCAGACTAGGTCTTTATTTTTGTTATCTTAGGAGAGATTTATCAGACTAAGATTTCTATCATAGGAGAAAATTCACCAGACTAGGTTTTTCTTATCTTACGAGAAAAATTCATCAGACTAAGACTTCGATCCTAGGAAAAAGTTCATCAGACTAGGTCTTATTATCTTAGGAGAAAGATTCATCAGACTAAGATTTTTATTGGGAGGAAAATCCATCACACTAGGATGTATTACCCTAGGAGGAAAATGCAAAGAGCAATGGCATGATTTCATGCATTCTAACAAGACAAATAAAGGCAAAGATTTGAGAAACTTCCCTTTGTCGGTTCTTTTTCTCTTCTTTTATTCATTTTTTTTCATTTTTCTCTTCTTCTTTTTTTGAAACACTTTCCTTGTACTGCTTTGGTTCTATTTCAAACAAAGAAAATTTATGAGTTTTAAAAGTGATGGTCAGTTTGTGGCCTTGAATCTTA